ACTCTAGGGAAAAAATGTAACATTCTAAATGAATGTGATCTGCGGAAAAGTCATTTTGTTGGGCAATTGAATGAATGGGAACAAGATACTAGAGCAGTGTTTCTCAACCCTGGCCACTTGAAGACATGTGGACTTCAGCTCCCAGAATTCCCCGGCCAGCATGGCTGGCCGGGGAATTCTAAAAGCTGAAGTCCACAGGTCCTCAAGTGGCCAAGGTTGAGAAACACTGCTCTAGTATCTTGTTCCCATTCATTCAATTGCCCAACAAAATGACTTTTCCGCAGATCACATTCATTTAGAATGTTACATTTTTTCCCTAGAGTCATCTCTGGCTCCTCCATTATCACCATTCACTGGATATACACCCAGAGCAATCTAGGTGACACCAATTCAAACTTTGAGACATACATTTAAGCCCTTTCACTCATAACTAAACCAACACCTTCACTTCCATACATCTATTCATCAGCTCCGCTCCACAAGGTCAGGCCATTTTCATTCAGATATAGTCTTCTTCTTTCTCTTAGATTCACAAATGCACACCATACATGTCAACAACATTCTCACAAATTGTTAATTAAACTGTCCAATATAAAGTAAAGTTAAGCTATACTTTGCTGGATCCTCTTTTTCCCCCTTTTTGTCTCTCTTCCAGTTATCCAGTTAACTCCATTAGCAGTTCTCCAGAATTTTTCGAAGATAATATAAAGATCTGGACAGATAATCATATAGTTCCCTCAAAACACTAAGCTGTAATGCATTTGGTTCTGGAGATTTAAGCTCAAAGTAAATTTGTTTTCCCACCATGTTTCTATTAATCTCTAGCTTCAGTCCTGCCACTTCATCTGCTCTTCAGTATTTCCTGGTGGGACATGTACTTTTTTGTGGAGAAGACTGATTATAAAGTGTTATGAGGCCTTAGTTGTCTATTTTCTAAAATACATAAAATTAAGAATGGTCCACCATCTTGTAAAGTATGTTCCACCTCTAAAAAGGGTTCAGTGTATGACTTTTCTCCTAATGTTCAATCAAAATATTCTGCCTTGCCATTTCTATTCATTGGTTTTACTCCTGCTGCCTACAATAACTGAGAGCAATTCTGCAACAGATTCTGCTCTATCTTCCACCTTTCAAAGATACGAAGCTCACTTTTCTGTCTCCCCCTTAATTTTTCTCTTCTCCAAGCTAAATATACCCAACTCTTTCAAACTTGCATCACAAGACTTGCTTCCAACCAATTCACCATCCTTGTGGCTTTTCTGTGGATGTGTTCCAAGGTATCACTGTCCTTGTCAAACTGTGGCACCCAGAATTGGACACATTATTCCAAATATGGCCTGAGTAGAGTGAATTAAACTGAAACTATTACTTCACATGGTTTGAACACTGGGCTTCACTTAATGCAGCCTAAGATCGCATGAGGATTTTTTTAATTAGTTGCATCACACTATTGGTTTATATTTAGCTTTAGATTGAGGTTAGATTTTTTCCCCATGTGAAGCTATATTCGTACCCTTGCTTTCTTAAAACCTATATGCAAGTCCATATTAAATTCTACGTAATCTCAGACTGTGAGTTTGGTCCATTTTTTCAGCCTCTCAAGGAGGAGAAACTGTTTTTGCCAATCAAGTCTGTTTCTCTTAGAATAGAACTGACAACTACATCCATTCTTTTGTCAGCATCAGAAAGTAGTTATCTAATAGTGAGCATATTTTTTAAATTGTTATTGTGTTGTTGTGTTTTTTGTTTTTTTACCAAACCTCAGAAGCATTTCATTTGGTTTTGCATTGCAAATTGCAATCATGGTCTGGGGGAAATTCCTGGCAATGATTAGCTGAATTATTTACTGAAGTAACCATAGTATATATAAAGTTCACTAGAAAAAAGCAACTTCTCATTTGAAATAGCCAATGTTCACAATGCAGTCTTAGCAAAGATATAATTTTTAAATTTAAAGTTTGGATCAACACAGCGACCCCTTTGTGATCTATTTTGGCATATGTTACTTATTTAAAAGTTCAGTTTGAACCTTTTCTGAATCTGAGACAGGCACAAGGCTGAGAAAATTATTCAATTAACTTTTGGAATCATTTCTCCCCCGTGAACGTTCCTCTGAATACTATTCTACTAAGGATGGCTACTTTCTGTCTCCCATTGTTCTCAAGAGTTCAGCAAATAGTCACAAAAGGGCCTTTGCATCAGGATGTCCAACTCATGGAATAGCCTTCTAGCTATGAAATTTGTTATAAGCTTCTCCATTTCATTCATTATTTTACTAAGAACAAAGCCCCTGCTTTTTATTTGTCCTACAAAAAACTCAGCTAACTAAGCAGCATAGCCTTTTGGGCTCCAAAATAGTTGATTTAGAGATCTCTTTTAGTTTCTTTATATCCCACCTTTTGCTATATTTCCCATCATAGTACCCTCAGTCTTTGGACATTAAAGAAAATGCAGCTGGATAGAAGTTCTCTATGGGATCCTTTTGCCTCCTTCCTCCCCTTTCCTAGAAGCAGAGAGATTTACACCACAACAGCCAGCTCCATGTCCTTCCTTCCTTCCTTCCTTCCTTCCTTCCTTCCTTCCTTCCTTCCTTCCTTCCTTCCGTTGCAACTGTCACAGCAGGCTACCTGGACACTTTAGCTTGGCCAGCCTACCTTTCTGACTTTTGGTGGCCTTGCATCGGAGCATACCTTGAGAATTACATTTCCTTATGCCCCACCTGCCCCTGTGTTAAGACTCAGACCAGCAAGTCTACTGCAACCCACTCCCCATCTCACCTTGGGACTAGACTTTGTAACTGACCTACGGTGTTTCAAGGATCTTGGATTTTACAATGAACCTATCGTGCATCAAGAGTTTTGTGATATTTGATCTTTTCTCTAAAATGGCCAATTTATTCCCTCATAAGGCCTTTCCATCACCCAAGACAGCTTGCTGTTCGTTTAATAAGCTTTCTGAAACGTATGGTTTGTCCAATCATCCAATTTCTGACAAGGCCCCCCAATTCATAGCATGTTTTCAGATAGTCCTATTTCAACTATTGGATGTGAAGTTCCCCATCCTTAGCCATTGGATGCAGAAACTTAAGACAACTGTCACTTTAGAATAATACTCTAATTGCCATGCTAACTAACTAACCAGTAAGATACCGGCCAAATTTTTTTTTAACCATGACAGAATTTGATTATAATAACTTAGTTTATGTTTCCACTAAGTCATTGCCTTTTTAGCCATCTACAGCTACCAGCCTTGCCTCCTGCCAAGATCTCACCTATCCCAGATAACTTCTTACAGGAACTTCAGGCAACTCCTTATAGATCAAATGTGCCAAGTCCTCCTGCAAGCAATTTATTGACCATAATTGTCAGGAAGCCGTCCCCTCTATCATGGTTGGAGATTGCATGTGGATTTCTACCAAGTTTCTCCCCTCTATGCAACTACCTATGCATCTGGAAAATAAGTTTACTGGATGGCACAGATCAGTCTTATGACTTCAAGTACAGCTCCCAGCCAGATTAAAGATACACCTGGTTTTCCACCATCTCCACTTGCCTTGAGAGCAATCTTCCTGCCCCTTCTGCACAGCATCTCCAACACAACCTTCCGTCTCAGGGAAGGACTCAAATTAGAGCACATTCTGGTCTCTTGAAACAGAAGAGGCAGACATGAGCATTTGATACCATATACCAGGGGACACCAATGCATTTAACATTTCTAGGAGGCAACAGATTATGCGCGCGCACACCCCTCCTTCACCATTTTATGTGCTACCCTATGAATCCATGTCATACACAAATATTTCTGCGACTGCCTGTGATTCTGCCTGTAAGGAAGAGCGGGACTTGAAAGTAGAGAGAGAGAAAGGATTGCATCACCTAAGAAAGAGGTGCAGAAACTAACTTCTCTGTTGTCTCCCCACACACAGACTAGAAGTGACTGCGTTATCTGAAAGAGAAAGTTCTGAAATGGTGGGAGCCCTGTCATATCCAACAGAAGAAGCAGAAAAGGAGGGAGCGGGTAGGGTGTCAGAAGAGAGTCCAATCTCCATAGAAATGAAGCTAGAGGGAGAAACCCACCCCTCTCTTTCTACTATGAGGAGGAAGAGGAGGAAAGGGGTGGTTTCTGATGTACACAGAAGGAGAGAAGGTACAGAATGGAGAAGGGATGGTGTAAGAGAACCAGATCTTCTCAGGCTGAGATGTCAGTTATATCACCAACCAACAACTGCTTGGCTTCAAAGGGCAAAAGATCCTCTGAAATGCAGAAAAGACAGAAAGGAGTAGTAGGTTTAAACCATTGTGGGGATAAGAGGAAACCGTACCCTCATTCTGACAGAGGACAGTCAGCTATTTAATGTGGATTCAGCCCAGTTTATAACAATTCTTGTCTAGCCATGCAGTGCTGAGCATCTGACAGGTTTCTGCCAGGTTCAAGCATAGCAGCCAACTTAAGGGGCTGGAGATTTACACTTGAGTCCTGGTCAAGAGTACCTGCCTTTCCATGTGCAAGGTGCCATAACCAAGGACCACTTCAAGGGTGCTGTGGGACTCAGAACCAACCTTCTGATTAAAATTGCGAGGTAGAAGGTGGCTTTGAGTTAGCCGGTCCCTAAGCCACGTAGAGCTTATACACAGGTGATGAATCACCAGCAGAAACAGAATTAACACAAGAACTCTCCAAGACCATTCAGGATTTAAGATGAATGATAGAATTCGGAGCCCACCCTTACTTATTTCTCTTTCACCTCTATCTGCCACTCTATTCCAGGCCTCATTTCTTCCTTTCCTGCTGCTTCACGTCTCCCTCTTCCTGCTTTCCTCCACCCTTCCTCTTTTCTGCTTTGCTCTTCCACTTTTGCTTTCCTCTTCTCTGCTTCCTGTTCCACTTGTCACACCCTATTTATGCTCTCTCATTTCTGTTTCTGTTCATTTACTGGGCATTAATTTCTCATTCCTCTTTTCACTGTCAACCTCCCCTCGCTGCCTCTGCTCCCACTCTCACCCACTCCCATATCTCATTTTCTGTCATCACTCCCACTTCTCTGTGTTTGCATTGTGTTAAGTGGCACCATGAGACTCCAGACACTCCCAGAAGAGGCTTTTGTTGTGCAGATATCCTGCCTCGTTCTCAAGATTTGGGAGAGAACCTTCCAGACCATGTCACTTTCCATTTTTAACTCATCCCCCCCCCTCCCCGTTTCTTTCTTTTCCCTCCTTTTGCAAAGTCTCTGGATTCACTTGAAGATAGTTATCAACTTCTTGATGCTTTGTAACTCCGGTTGAGTACAAAAATGTATGTTAAGACTGAGTTGTCTAAGTTGCATTTTTAAAATAGTAATTGAAATGCCTGTTAATTTGTTGAAAACAGCCTACATGTACCCATTGTGACAGTCAAGTCCAGAGCAGACGAGTTCAGATGCTCAGGAGAGCAGCACATAGCATAATCCTCAGCACTGAGAGGGGGGTGAGGTTGTGGGCCTGTGTGCAAATGGACTGTGAGATGGCTACGACATTTCTCCAGCCTCCACTATGTCTGTATTGCTTTGTAAGTAAACTGGGCCTTGAATGACAATGGAAGGTCTATCCATTTAAAGACCTGCTTCTCCGGGGCATGGGCAGCCCTCTGCACTTTGCAAACTCTCCACAGCCTTGCAGCTTAGCAACATCTGGGGCGCAGGTTCCCCAGCCCTGTTTTGGGGAAAAGGCAAACTTCTTCCCCTTAGTCCACCAACCAACAAGCTCCACTTCAGACTCACCAGGGTTTAGCATCACTTTGTTGCTGTTCACTAAATCAATTTAATGAACCAAATAAATGATTTAGCACTTCCTTTGCTTCACACAATTGATGGAAAGAAACAGAGCCGAGTATCATCAGTGTCCCAGAAAGTTGCAAGATTAGGGTTCATCTTGCCCAAACATTACTCAAGTGTACACATACATTCATTTCAATACATGCCCATGTAAGAGATCTCACTGTATTATCATAAGTAGTTTCATAATTAAAACTTCACACCTTAGATTTTTTTCCCACCCATCCCCTCACTGAAATATGTGGCTTTAGGTTGGTCCTATTTCAGGAATGACTAACTACAAAATATTGAGAGGTATCATTATTTTGCTCAATATTCTAGGGCTACTAAAATCTCAGCTTCATAAAACTTGGAACACACACACAATGTTGGCTGAGCACTAGAATGATGCCAAATGCTTTTGGTTTTGAGGGCAAATTCACATTTGTAGCCCTTCCCAAAAACTTTGGGAAAGCACTATTTGCTTGAGGGTGCTAGATTGGGGAGGGAAAGCAAGCAATCTTGGAAGAACATTTAGAAGAAAAGTCCCTTCTGGCCTCAGAATTTTTGGTGCAAATGTTCTGCTTCCACCATCCTTCCATTCTGATGGCTGTTGGAGGAACCCCAAAGAATGGAGGAAAATGAAGGTGGAAACACACACACACACACACACACACTCAGTGCAACATCCCACTGCTCTGTCTTCTTATGGCAGTGTATTCTGTATTTTTTTCCTTCCTACCTCTGTAGTCTGTCTGCTACAGAGGTATCTGGTGGTGGTATGTCAAAATCTACAAGATGGCGGGCACTGCATCACAATAAGCCCCAGCCCTTTTGCACTCCACACACACGTACAAAAGGTGTGGAGCTTCCATCATGAGGCTGCACCCACCATCTTGCAGATTTTGGCTCTGTCCATCACCGCAGCCTTCACTCCAACGTTTCTTTTCATACTTTTTTCTCTTTTCTCCTCCCCGCTTCCTCCCTGTGGAAGATGGCCAGAGCTATGGAGCAACTCAGCGTGTGTGAAGCATTGTGTTATGAATGAGTACTTGTTCCTTCTCTTCTACGGCTGCTACTTTTTTAATTACAGCACTGTGAAAGAACAAGGGACCTCAGTGGACTAGAAATTAACTTTTTAAAGAGTTCCAAGTTTGCAGCTTAAAAAACAAAAACGAAACCACCTTCTCCATGTTCTGCAAACAGAGTTTGCTCTCAGGCCATTCAATCTATTTTCCAAGGAAGTAAGAAACACAAAAACAAAAAGCCCTCTGCTTACAAAGGTTTGTTCCGTCCCCAGATCTTCTTGCAACTGATTTTACAAAGCATTTGTGTGCATTTCAAAGTCACAGTGGGAATTTTCACAGGACATTCAAACAAATCATAATAAGATGGCAAAGCCTGTGAGCTCTCTGACCCTGTGCTTTGTGTCTCTGCACATGTAGCATCATGGAATTTTATTTTCAGATTTGGGTTTATGCAGCTCTAGAGGCTTTATCCGCATAGCCTTTTTGAATCAAAATGAGTTCTCCATGACTGTACTTTTGTTGTTCCAAAGCAGCCCCCCCCCCATTATAGTATTTTACTTTTGAAGATATTTGATATTCTTCCCAATAAAAGTAAGGCATAAGGGTTTCTTTTTCTCCACTCCCAACTATTCTGTCTTCCAAAAGCAGTTATATAACCATCCACAAAGATAGATGAGATGGGAGAAAGAAAGGCTGTTTTCTTGAAATATAGTGAATTACAATTGGTGTATGAAAGTAGCCTGTGAAATTAGTTTATGAAGTTTAGTATGCTAACTCAGAAATTCAGATTTATTGAACAAAACCCAATGGGTAAACTCTGCAAACTTGGCTTTTGAAGCAGGTTAACTCTGCCATCTGAATCCAGGGTCCCTGGTTTTAATTTAACACTCTAGCCCAGTATTTCTCAACCTTGGGGAGTTTAAGATATGTGGACTTCAACTTCCCAAGGTTGAGAAACACCACTCTAGCCAAACCTTGTCTCAGCCAATGCCCTCTAGATTTTTGGGATTAAACCTCCCATCATCCCAGAGCAACCTCCACAGCATTCCACTGTCAGCCCTCCTCTCCTGCTTTGGAGGAAAGAGTCCCTTTTAGTGGGGACCACAGGGAAGGGATTGAAAAAGGCAAGATGGGTGATGCACCGCAGTGGTGCAAGTCCTGTCCCTTTTGAATGCATGCATGGATAGAAAGGGCAGACTTGCATCACAACACTGCATCCGCCACCTTGCCAAGCTCCTCCTGAAGCTCCAAGCCTTTATATTTCTACCTGCCCTCCAGCAAATAAAGCACTTGCAAACATGGATATAAGAAAGGTTTAAAACAGCCAAATGCCCCCTCAAACAAATCTCACTACCACCTAAGCATATCTGTTGGAGTTCTGTCTTCTGCAAGCAGTTGTCCAAATACCACCGTTTCCCTCACTGGTGTCTCACCCGCCTTCTCCTTTACATATCTAACACACAGAGTATCACATACTTTTGCATTTAACTTCAGGCCGAGATCCTGTACGCAGGCCTGAAAATACAACTGTCTGTGGATTTCTGGACACGAAATAGTCTGTCCCTCAAGAAACATCTGAAGTTTGTTTCAGAGTTGAAGTGTCCTAATGTAAATATGAACTGGTGCAACTTTTAGGAGGTCCAATTGTTCTGCCAATAACCAGATCTTCTACAGCATCTTTCCCAAGTCCACATTTTAGAAGAGCACCAGGCAGTGTGAATAAGCCCCAAGATTCATGCACCCAAATTTTCCAGAAATAATGGCTCATGGTGTGACTGACATAATAGTTAGATAGCCAAACAAGCTAAATTTCAGCTAGCAAGTAGATATGGGTATGTGAAAATTAGCAAGCCATTTTTCATTTGGACAAGATTCCAACCAGTAGAGGTCCTATCACCTCCATCCTAACACCTGAGAGTAAGAAGGAGCCAAATAGCTTCCCTCTTCTGGACATGTGGAAAATGAAAGCAATTCTTCCTTCTTTTGGAGGGGAAAGAAGAGCTTTTACTGTATAAGAAGGGTGGAACAAAAAGGATTTGGAAAATATACCTTTGTCAACAAATGCCTCAGATCTTCCCAGCATCCTATATTTTGCTTGGCCAGCTTAGCTTTAGAAGTTGATATGTACATATGTTCATATGTGCATGTTAGTGATGAGCTCAAGCAACTGCCTTTTAATAAAGAAAAAGCTGATTTGACTTAATTTTTGCCTGAAGTTTCTAAATCTGGTAGATGATTTCAGCCTCAACAAATCACACAGTCCAAATTGTGATTATGTGATGGACTATAATTGTAGGGCAGTGGGGAATTACTGCAATTCTGGATCAAAAAAGTAAGATATTTTCCAGAGTTTTTAATATATAAAATATATTTCTTCAACCAGCTCCTTTGACAGATAGTTATTACTATTTTAAATACTTGTCTAAATTTAAGGTAAGATATGCATTTATCTGCAGGAACATTTACAAATATTTAATAAAACAGCAATGCTACAAATTCTTTATGTTTCCTGTTACTTGGAGAAGGTATGAGCAAAATGTCAAAAAAATAATACTGCAAGGAAGTGGAACCAAAACATCTTTTGAAATTTGAAGAATCAATTTATTATTGAAAACAGTGAATCTATTATTCTGAATTTATTCAGATTTCTTAACTAAAGCCACCTCTGTACTGGGTATCATTTTCATAAGACCTGGAAATATGTAATTTGCCAACATCATAACCTGGATTAATGCTAATGTAAGGAACAATGAAAAGTTGTTTTCTAAGATCTAGAAAAACAATTTGATTCTTTTAAAATTGACAGCAATGATAAATAATGATGAATATGATGAATTGACAAGTAAAACAGAACATCATGAGAAAGAAATTACAGATTTATTGGAATAGAAGAACAGTGCTAATCTCTTAAAACTTGGAGATAAATTGAGATTTTTCCAGATGTCTCCTCAGACATGCTTGGAAAGAGATCTGATATTTCTGATATCTGTTCTCAAAGAAAAGATGATCAGGTACAGGTGGGCTATTCCACTTCATCCAGAGGTCTTCCTGAATGGCAGCAAAGCATTCTTACATCTGCCAGGGGACTCTCATGAAACGCCTGACTCATTAAAAGTCACAGAACAGGTTAAAAAATTCTCAAACCATACAGAAGATCAAAAACTGAATTGAGAGCTGCTCTTTCTTCATAAATTAATCTAAAAACAGGAATCACAGATCATATAAAATATTTTCAACCAATATTAAGACTTAATGGTCATCCAAAAAGAAAAAATAGTTTCTTGAAATTAAAAAA